CAAGGGATTCCTTAGGCATCCCTCAGGAATCCTGAAGCAGTTTCAAGAATTCTCTGGACTCCTCCACAACCCTGGAAGGAATCCTCCACACTCCCTCGAAAACCTGAGGAATCCCTCGGTAATCCTCAGGAATATCTTAGGAGTCCTCGTGAATCTTAAAAAGTTCCCACTAATCGAAAGGAGTCCATCAGGAATCCTCAGGGATCCTTCAGAAATCCCCCAAGAATCATCAAGGATCCCTCAGGGACCCCTCAGGAATCCATCCGGAAGACTTCGAGGAATCCTCAGGAACACCTTCGGATTCCCCAGGAATCCCCCAGGAAGACTTAGACGAACCCACGGGAATCCTGCACGAAGCCGAGGAGGGGCCTTCAAGGAAGCGCCTATGCAGCGCTTGTCAACAAGCGGAAAAAAAAACGCCTTTTCAAGCGCTTTCGTTACGGATTGATTTCCAATTGGGATCTGGACCGTATACTTGGGATCTAAACCGTCCAATCGGGATCTGGACCTTTCTCTGGCCATAGACGTGGAGGGGACCCCGCTGCAGGAGGTTCTCTTCGAGCCCCGCTTCACACCTTGCGTAGGGGGACCTCCTGGCCCCTTCGGGGACCGTGCGCCAAGTGACAGCCGTGATCTGTTAGAGTCGGATATTGCCTGGGCTGACATGAATATCATGGCTCTCGCGCGGGGGACCTGGGGAAGGACGGGCAACCAACATGGATTGGCCGGTGGACTCAGCTCGCCCGATATGACTTTGTTGCCGGGATCCTTCGTGTCACGCCCAGGAATACGTGGATTGCCGCTGACGGCGGCTACCACCCGTTAAGATCTGCGACCTTTCCTTGAGGAAGTTTGGCCTTCTCCCCCAATGAGCGTGAAAGAGCTGGTTGTACGAAGTGTTGGGCCAGAAGTTGTTCAGGCTGTTCTCAAAGGCCCTTAGCAATGATAACTATCCCCTTCTAGGGTGCCTGCCAATTTGTCCCCAGACTGCCCACCTTGAGGAACTCAGGGCTGGCACGCGTTAGGATATGAACGTGTTCTTATTCGGCGTTTCGACATTGAGCGGAAGGGGGGGGGCACGGTGGGGTGGCCTGGCTCCGGACCTCTGCTTAGTGCGACTGTTTGGAACCATGCGTTCTCTGGGGGGCGACACTACCTGCTTGAAACAGGCGCCAAAAACAGCCAAGATCTACTTCATGGGGGGGGAGAAGGGGGGTGCGAGGGCCCGCGCCGATCGGCAAGACAGCGAATCAAAAAACCGATCACTCTGCTGGGGCCCACCCTGCGCGGCCAGGAGAGGTTCGGCCATCACTGCATGGGGCAGGGGAGGTGCTCGCCTGGAGCAAGCAATATGCCTCTCCTGCTGACACCATTGCCGTCCTTGCGTTCGAGATATGGCTCGAGGCTTCCTTTTCTCTCGGGGGGACATTCGTTGGAGGCCCCCGAGGGGCTTGGCCCCGTGGGCCCCGCTGGACCCCTTCCCTCGCCTAAGTCGGTGGTTCTGAAAGGGGGGATGGTTTGCACTTGACCCCGTCTCTCTTTCTGTGCCGCTCTGTTTGTCCCATCGTCCTCTTATGCATTGTCTTCTTTTTGCTCAGGATAGGCGGCCCTGTTCAGACGTTTTCAGTTAGTGAGCGAGGAGGAGGGGGAGGAGGAAGAAGAGGCGGAGGACCAGTGTAAACCCAAGAATCATCAACGATGTCGGAGTAAACCCTCACTCCAAGCTCCCGCTTCATTGGCACATGCGGTTCATTTCCATTGATGGAACTGCCTCGTTGGAAGACACCCGTTTGAAGACCCTGAAGCATACCAAAACATTGTTCTCGGGATTCGAACGCCACAGATCAACCTGATTGTTGTGTCTTGACGATCCTGAATCGTGCCAGAATGCCATTCCTAGGAGTTCAGCACAGAGATTCAACGGAACTGTTAGGCCCGCATAATCCTGAATCCTTCCAGCTTCCAGCACGCCATTTTTGGCGTGCTGATTAAGGGAACCCGTGGAACTCTTGAACATGTTGTAAACGAATGTGCGCGGCGCTAATGCGAGAACAACATTTCGGAAAACACCGCCCTCAATCCGTGAAGTTCTTGCAATTTCCTAGCACGAATGTGCGCCGCGCTAAGGCGAGAACCACATTTTGAAAACCACCCGTCCTCAATCCTTGAAGCTCTTGCAATTGTCTAATCGAATGTGCGCCGCGCTAAAGCGAGAACCACAGTTTGAAGACCACCCGCCCCCAATCCGTGAAACTCTTGCAACTGTTTAAAACGGATGCGCGCCGCGCTAAGGCGAGAGCCACATTTTGAAAACGACCCGCCCTCCACCCGAGAAGCTTCAGGGTCATGAATGGTGAGGTCTCAGGCGAAGCGCCCGGCCCGCCCTGAAAACTTGCCTCGGGGAGCGCAGCGACAGGGACACATTCTTTATAAGGGAAAAGGAATGGAGGGGGAGGAGGAGGAGGAGAAGGAGGCGGAGGAGGAGGAGGCGGAGGAGCAGGAGGAGGAGGAGGAGGAGGAGGAAGGAGAAGGAGGAGAGGAGGAGGAGGAGGAGGAGGAGGAGGAGGAGGAGGGAGGAGGAGGAGGAGGAGGAGGGGAGGAGGAGGAGGAGGAGGAGGAGGAGGAGGAGGAGGAGGAGGAGGAGGAGGAGCGGAGGAGGAGGAGGAGGAGGAGGAGGAGAGGAGGAGGAGGAGGAGGAGGAGAGGAGAGGAGGAGGGAGGAGGAGAAGGAGGCGGAGGAGGAGGAGGAGGAGGTGGAGGGAAAGGAGGAGGAGGAGGAGGAGGAGGAGGAGGAGGAGGTTGAGGGGGTGGGAGGGGGAGGAGGAGGAGGAGGAGGAGGAGGAGGAGGAGGAGGAGGAGAGGAGGAGGAGGAGGAGGAGGAGGAGGAGGAGGAGGAGGAGGAGGAGAGGAGGAGGAGGGAGAGGAGGAGGAGGAGGAGGGAGGAGGAGGGGGAGGAGGAGGAGGAGGAGGAGGAGGCGGAGGAGGAGGAGGAGGAGGAGGAGGAGGAGGAGGAGGGGGAGGAGGAGGAGGGGCAGCAGGAGGGAGAGGAGGAGGAGGAGGAGGTGGAGGAGGAGGAGAAGGAGGAGGAGGAGGAGGAGGAGGAGGAGGAGGAGGGAGAGGGGGATGAGGAGAAGAGGGAGGAGAAGGAGGGAAGGAGTAGGAGAGGGAGGAGGAGGAGGAGGAGGAGGAGGAGGAGGGGAGGAGGAGGAGGAGGAGGAAGAGGAAGAAGAGGAGGAGGAGGAGGAGGAGGAGGAGGAGGAGGAGGAGGAGGTTGAGGGGGTGGGAGGGGGAGGAAGGGAAGAAAGGAGAGGAAGGCGAGGAGGGAGAGGATGGGTTGGCGGAGGAGGAGGGAGAGGATGGGCAGGCGGAGGAGGAGGAGGGGGAGGAGGAGGAGGAGGAGGAGGAGAAGGAGGAGGAGGAGCAGCAGGAGGACAGGCAATACGACGAGGACGACGATGTAACACTGGCCTCGGGCAAGTGATCGAGAACTCTGGGGTCAACGACCACGAAGTCGTCGTCGTCATCGTCGTCATTGTTGTCCCCCACCCTCCCTCCCGTCTCCCCTCCTCCTCTTGACGCTGATAAGACTCGCATGACACCAGCAGGAGCAGGAGGAGGGGGAAGGAGGGAGGACGGAGGCGAGCGGCTACGGCAAATTCGTGTGGTGTCGACTTCGGCGTTGGTTTCTGACATCGTGGGGATCGTTCAACCTTGAACGATCGACCGTTTCTGAAGCGTGAGATCGTTTAACACTCACTGATTGACTCTGGGTAACTGGCGGCGCTCAACGTCGAACGCATGCGGCGGGGTCCGCCGGTCGACGCGACGCGAACCTACCGACGAGGGTGTCGGAGCCCTGGGGACACATGGCATCTCTCCGAGCATCGAGGAGCACCCCCCTCGTCCTCATGGCCCTCCCGATTCCTCCTCCTCCCCCCTCCTCCTCCTCCTCCTCCTCCTCCTCCTCCTCCTCCTCCTCCTCCTCCTCCTCTTCGTCCTCCAGGGGGCTCCTGGACGTTTGGGGCCCTGGGGACACGCGAGGCTCTGGGGCCGCCTGGTCTGGCAACGGCGCGCGCCGAGTCTGTACGGGAGCGGGGCCGGCCGCCCACCCGCACGGAACCCTGGTGCATATGTCTGCGCTTCCCCGAGGGAAGCCAGGAGAAGCTCCAGCTCCTTCTCTGCTGCGCCCCCCCTCCTCGTTCAGATAGGGCGACGCAATCTATACATATCCACTGCTCCCTGGCCAGGCCCATCCTGAACACAGCAGCTGTGTATACGCCACGCCCTCCTGGTTTGGCCAGGAGGGCGTATACACAGCTCCTGGGTTCAGGATGGGCCTGGCCAGGGAGCAGTGGATATGTATAGACTTCGTCCCCCGATCAAAGGGCGCAGAGGTCGGGTACAGTCAGAACCGATCGCAAGGACGCGAGGTGAGGACGCAAGGCCCGTGGACCGTCCGCAATGGATACCCTTGGGCGTCGAAGCTGGCCAAATAATGGCCGAATAAGCAAGGATGAAAAGGGTACCCTTAGTGAAGTATGGCGTCATTACTATGGGTGTTGACTGTAAGGGCAGAAGGGCGTTGGAGGAAACATCGCCCTAAACGGCTCGGGCTAAAAAACCACATATATATGTATGTATGTATGTATATATATATATGTATATATATATATATAAATGATCATCGCCAAGGCGCTAAGGGCCATCGGGCCACTGATCCAGCTGGGTCCGCTCCCTGACCCCGCTTCGGGAAAACCCCCCCTCTGCGCCCCTCTGCAAACCCTCGACCGGTGCTCCCACCCTCGAGCCGCTTGTCGGGGGCTGCTACGGATGCCTCTGGCCCAACCAAGGTGCCCCCAGCTCTTCGCTCAATTTTGGAACCCCCGGGGACCTCTGGACCTCGTGAAGGGGTGCTCTGGAGGCCGTGGGGGCCTTGATGGAAATCCTGGGGGCACCTTGGACCAGGGGCGCTTCTAGCAACACCCGGGCTCGGGCGGAGGCCTGTCCGGAGAAGCGCAGGAGGAGGGGCGTGATGACCACCTCACAGGAGGGGGGGGGCGGAGGCGGCCGCGTCGTTGGAAGGGTTTGCGACAACGAGGACAAGCAGGGGGAGGGCGACGAGGACGAGGAGGGCCCTCTCCTCCCCCTCCTCCCCCCCTCCTTCCCTCCCTCCTCCTCCCCCTCCCCCTCCCCCTCCCCCGAGATTCGGTCTCTTTACAACCAGAACGACCACTTTACAACCAGATGGGTTACTTTGCAACCAGCATAGGATTGGACACTCTGGTTTTTCATCGAGAACGTCCACTTTGCAACCCGAACGGCCCAATTTGCAACCAGAACGGGCCACTTTACAACCAGAACGGACCACTTTACAACCAGCTCAGAGTGGCCATGCGTGTTTGGGCGTTCCGCAAAGTGCTCCAGAGCAAGTGGGCGCTCTGAAAAATGCTCCAGAGCAAGTGGGCGCTCTGAAAAATGCTCCAGAGCAAGTGGGCGCTCTCAAATGTGCTCCAGGGCGCGCGGACGCTCTGCGAAGTGCTCCAGAGCACGTGGGCGCTCTGGAGCCCGAGCGCCTGAACGCTCTGCGCAGGCCCCGGCGACGCTTCTGAGCCCGATCGCCTGAACGTCCTGCGCATGCCCCAGCGATGCCTCTGAGCCCGAGGACCTGGGCGCTCTGCGCAGGCCCCAGCGATGCCTCTGAGTCCGAGCGCCTGAACGCCCTGCGCAGGCCCCAACGGTGCCTCTGAACCCGAGGACCTGGACGCTCTGCGCAGGCCCCAGCGACGCCTCTGAGCCCGAGCACCTGGACGCTCTGAGCAGGCCCCAACGATGCCTCTGAGCCCGAGGACCTGGACGCCCAGCGCAGGCCCCAGCGATGCCTCTGAGCCCGAGCGCCTGGGCGCTCTGAGCAGGCCCCAGCGATGCCTCTGAGCCCGAGGACCTGGACGCTCTGCGCAGGCCCCAGCGATGCCTCTGAGCCCGAGCGCCTGGACGCTCGTGGCCCCATGTTCAAGACAGTGGTCGGGGTCTTCACCAACGGCCTCGTATTGAACCCCTTCGACTGCAGTTTCCAATGCAACCCTGCTACCACCACACTTACCGCTGCAACCCCGCTACCTCCACAATTCTGACTGACCCCCCGCTACCGCCACAGATCCCATTGCAGCCCAGCTGCCACCACAGTTCCCACCGCTGCCTGGCGACCACCACAGTTGGCACCGCAGCTTCCCAACACCATGCAGTTCCCATTGTAGCCCCCGCTACCACCACATCTCCCACTACATCTTCCCACTGCCATGCAGCTCCAGTCTTGGACAGGATCATGATTTATTCGAATGTCCTGCGCGAGTAGCCTTCGTCCGTCGGAAAAGGCAGAGCAAGCAATGGCAGAACTGACCGGCAGAGCTCAGAGAGCAGGTCAAAGCCAGAACCCGCCCACCAGCACGCAACATATCATAGCGCACCAGGTCGTCGCATCACCAACGCGTGCACAGTGCTTCTTCGTGCGCGATGGGCAACTTTACAACCAACATGCCTCGAAAAGCCCACAGCCACCCTTGCGCTTGCCCACGGAGATTTCAGGGAAAGGCCCGCGTGCATGCAATATGTGTCTCCATTTGCCTGGTTGTAAAATGCCCTTCCTGGTTGTAAAGTGCCCTTCCCGGATTTTGCAAGCTGGTTGTGAAGTGACCCATATGGTTGTAAAGTGCGCTTCTGGTTGTAAAGTGACCCACGCGCCCCCTCCCCCCCCCCCCCCTCCCCATCCCCCTCCCCGTCCTCCCTCCCCTCCTCCTCCTCCTGCTGTTCTTCCTCCTGCTGCTCCTGCTGCTCCCCCCCTTTCCCCCCCCCCCCCCCCCTGCGGAGGAGAGGGAGGCAAGAGGTGAGAGGAGGCAGGCACTCTCTTCCCCGCCCGCCAACACACAGCATCCAGCTATCGCGGAAACGCCACGTGAAGGGGCAGGGGGGAGAAGGAGGAGGTGAAGGAGGAGGAGGAGGAGGAGGAGGAGGGGGAGGAGGAAGAGGAGGAAAAGGAGGAGGAGGAGGGGTTGATGGGGGTAGGAGGAGGATGATGAGGAGGGGGGGGGAGGGAGCGAGCGAGCGGAAGCCGAGGGGCAGCTGGATCCAGAGAAGAAAGGGAAGGAGAACACCCCCACACACCACCCCACACACACACAACACACACACACACAACACACACACACACACACACACCACACAACACACACACACACACCACACACACACACACACACATCACACACACACACACACACACCACCACACACACACACACACACACACACACACACACACACACACACACACACACACACACACACACACACACACACACACACACACACACACACACACACACACATACACACACACACACACACACACACACCACCCCACCCCCCAGCGCCTACACGGTGGGGCCCGAAGGCCAGGACCACCTTGCAAACACCAGGACGGGGCGTGGGGGCCGTTCCTACCTCAAAGCAGACGCGGGCGGCCAGGAGCACGGGGCCTGAGGCAGGCCCGTGCTCACCCGCACGAGGCCCGCCGAGGCGACGAAGGGCTCCTCGGGTGCAACCACCGCACCCAGTCCAGCGCCAGGGCAGCGAAAGCCACGCCCACGTGGAAAGCGCCGCCGACGTGGCAATCGAAGGGGGCGCGGGGAAACAGCGCCTCGAACGAACCACGGCAAAGCAGGCTGGCGCTCCCGCCACTTAGAGAATTCAAAGGCCAGCAAGGCTGCAACCTCAAGAATCTCGGACGGAAGCCACCAGCCTGGCGACGAACGAACCTGCCGCCCACAGGGCACAGGATTTGAACACAGAACAAGTTGTAAAGCCTCCGAGGATCAAACTCCACATCATGGCTCCTGATCGGTGTACAGTCCACGCTGCACACTCACTCCGACTCTTGGCCACCTTCATCATCTCCAGGAATGTGACCTAGCTCCACGGCCTCGCGAAACTCAATCCCGTACGCCAGGAGGATGCGCGATGTGCCCAGGAGCCTCTGCTTCTTCAGTGGGGTCCGAACTGCACTGCTGCTCAGCTCCAGCTCCCACTTCTTGGTCGCTCTGACCATGTTCCGTGCTGGTCCCGATGGCGACCGCGGAGACTCTAGCCTGACATGGGCTCGGATCGCCTGAGGATGCCCAAGATTATCTAAGTGCCGACGGTTTTCCACTTCACGGCCCCCTCCATGCTTACCTTTGCACTTCTGAGCCAGCCCTCGATAGTTCTTGGAATCTGAACAGAAATACTGGCAGCACGTGGAACATAACAAAATAAAGTGTGGCGAGTCCACCATCGGATATTCCACTAGGCTGTGCCCTGCCACCTGCCATGGCTCCAGGAAGCCGTCTAGCTCGTCTTCCAGGATCAGTTCACAATGGGGCTCATTGTCCTCCATGGCGGTCAGGGACTGCTGAAAGGGGGCCTCCTGCTCCTCATCTGCTTTCAACGGGAAATGGTAATCCAGGCCCTCAGCGTTACAATCATACAGCCACGCTTGAAAACTCCCAAGGTACTGCAGTAGCATTTTGTGCAACTTCCTACAGCCCCTAACGAAATCCACGTGCTCGTCCTCTGGCATATTATATTCAGCCCCACGCTTCGCCAATGCGTCCGCCGTGGAGTTGCCAGTCCTCTCAAAATCAGACAACGCACCTTCAATCGCATCCGTCGGTGTCGCGTGGCCCTTCACATGCTTGAACGCCTGCCGATGGAAATCCTCATTCTGAGCAACCAACTTCCACACATTAGCTCTTGGATTGCCTGCTCCCACGGCCAGGCTAGGCGAACGGCAGTAAGACAGCGTGCCATTGCAGTCTGAGAGCACCGTGTATGATCCCAGAACTTGCCTGCTAACGATCAGCATCGCATAGTCCTCGCCACACTTGGCCACTTGAAGCGGGCACATATCCTTTGGCACTGCACCGGTGTATCTGGCCACCCTCCTGCGTTCATGGCCGTATACAACGACTGACCAACCTGCGCTTCGCATGCGCGGTATGTCCGTATAGAAACCACTCCCGTCAGTGAAAACAAAGCCGCCATCAACATGCACAACACCTTTACGATCCATATCATAGTGGTGGTGAGCTGGGTTCCCGCTCGAATAAGCAAAGGTTTGAGCAGGGTCAGGAAGAAGGCCACGGCAGAAGAGAGTCTGTAGGGCCTCGGGGGCCTGCCTCATACGCTCGACTGCATTGTGGAGCTCCTTCGGGAGCCTCTCCTGCCTGAAGAAGTGGTACGCGTCGCACTCGAAGAACCTATGATAGAACGTGCCCGGGCAACCTTGGCACCTCAAGCACACCGAGGGCTCCCCGTTGAAGGACTTCGAGACCCTGTACTGGCACCAGTGAGCCCCCGAGCACAGGCCCCTGAGAGACCTCCTTTCCCTTGGCGGCAACTTACTGCGCTTTGAATGCAGGACCTCATTCATGGGCATCCACGATAAGGGGCCTTGAGGGGCTCGTGAGTCGCCATCTGCGAGCCTGTGAAGAGCTTCCCTATCAATGTGCCTCCGAACCCCATGCTTGACCATCGAGCTCAGTAGGGCGGGCGGAGTGGTCCTGAAGTCCCAGAGCTGCCCATCGTCATCTCTGATGGTGTGGACGTCCTCCCAGGACCACCCAATCCTGTGGAGCGAGAGGAGAAGCGCGGCAATCGGGTTTTTGCACTTGGCCCAGCGTTGTGGATCCAGTAGCAACGGCCTCGCCTCTGTGAGCAGCTTGTCGACGACCGCCCATGTGACGGCCTGCGAATTCATAGCGACAGCAAAGGTGTGGACCGCGTCCACCGTCGCAGTGACCAAGGGGTCCTGCTGCCAGCCGCACTCTGCCGTCAGAAGCGACAGACCCACAGACGCGCCTGGCATGTACTTGCCAACGTTCAAGTACGACATGCGCAGGGACTGGATCCTCGAACTTGCCGCACCGTGGATACTGGAGCCCCAAAGAGATTTGGCCAGGACCCCAGCCCGATGCACCGCTGATTTTTGACGGCCCAGTCCCTGGAGAG